GTCTGCGGAGCCATATGTGAGATGTAACAGACATGAGCCTGTTAATAAGAATTTTGTGGGCAGTTTTCTTGCTTACCACTAGGGGTGCTAGGGTGTTTTAGGTTTGAAATGGGGGAAATGTCATTAGAAATGAGAAGGGTACAGTTATCAGTGAATTATTGGGTTAATTTACAAGGCCATAGTCAAGAGCATCCAACACTAGATATTTTAAAGCCCTGTTGGGAAAAAGTAAGGAGGAAAATTAAAAGCTTTGGATGGACAGTGATACAGAAAGCAACTAAATGATGTATTTGAAGATCTGGATAATGGGCTGGGGTTTTCGCTCTTTGCTGATGATGGGGCAATCTGGAAAAGGGGAAGGAATATTGACTTTATTGTTAAAAAATTACAGGTGGCTATTGCAATAGTTGAAGAATGGTCATATAAATGGGGTTTTAAATTCTCAGTTGACAAAACAAAGATAATGTTTTTTACAAGGAAAAAAATTGGAAGTGAGGTAAAACTAAAATTATATAATCAAGAACTGGAAAGAGAGAAACATTTTAAGTTTTTAGGGATATGGTTTGATGAAAGAGTTACATGGGCGGTGCATATTCAGAATATAGTGAACAAATGTAAGAAAATAATAAATACAATGAGGTGTTTAGTTGGAAGTGAATGGGGGGCAGATAGGATGGCATTAAAGGCCATGTATAGTGGATTGGTTAGATCCGTGTTAGATTATGGTTGTGTGGTGTATGGATCAGCAGCAGAAACATCTCTTAGAAAGTTAGATAATATACAGCATCAGGTATTGAGATTATGTACAGGAGCTATAAAAACTACACCAATTACAGCACTACAGGTTGAAATGGGGGAAATGTCATTAGAAATGAGAAGGGTACAGTTATCAGTGAATTATTGGGTTAATTTACAAGGCCATAGTCAAGAGCATCCAACACTAGATACTTTAAAGCCCTGTTGGGAAAAAGAGAGGAGGAAAATTAAAAGTTTTGGCTGGACAGTGATACAGAAAGCAACAGAACTTGAAGTTAATCAGTTAAATGTTAGTCCAACTGTACCGCTACCTGTAATAAAACCTTGGTTACTTTCAGATGCTACAGTAGATTTTACATTGTTAGAACAGAAAAATAAGGGTAAGGAATGTAATTTATATAATGTGCAGACATATATTAATGAGTACTACAGCTATGTTCAGATCTACACAGATGCATCAAAGAGTTTAGACAATAAGGTAGGAGTAGCGTTTACTGTTCCAGAATTTCATTTATCAGTAAGGAAAAGGATCAGTGATGAGTTATCAGTTTATACAGGGGAAATGATTGCACTATTATTAGCAATACAGTGGATAGAAGAGATAAGACCTTTGAAATCAATTATTTGTTCAGATTCATGTTCATCATTGGCTAGTTTACAGTACAGTCACTTGGAAAGTAGACCAGACATTTTAATGGAAATAATGCAAACGTTATATAGAATTCAAATCATGGGGATTACAGTGGTATTTGTATGGGTGCTGGCGCATATTGGTATCCAAGTAAAAAATGAAACTGCAGATAAAGAAGCAAAAGAAACAGTTAAAAACAACGACATTAACTTAATTGTTAATTTAAGTAAGAATGAAAAGGGGGGAAGGGAGTAAGTCATTTTGAACCACACTCCATACCAGTTGGTGGCGGAAATACACCATTTTGTTGTTTGTCAACCGCCAATAAATTTCAATAAGAAGAAGAAGAAGAAGAAGAGGCATTCCAAACAGAATATATCGCCCTCCGAAGGGCACTTCGGAGTGAAAACAATCATGGCCGCCATATTGAACGGTCGTTCCAGACCAAAGTGCTCAACACTGGCCACTTCAAAGGGCCCTTCGGAATGAAGGATTTCAAAGGGTACAACTGATGGTCACTTCGGGCTCCCATGATCCTTTGCGCAGATTCTTTGCATGATGACGGTGCCTCCGTGTGGGCATGTGATGATGAGGGGCACTTCAAAAAACAGTTGTTTGGTCCCCTACACCCTTCAACCCTTCGAAGCACTCACTCCGGAGGGTAAACCCTTTGAAGGGATTAGGGCATAGGGATGAGCCCTTCCGAATGAAATGCAGGGATTGTGCTGTGTCCTGGTTGGGAAATGTGCCATTTCAAGCCCAGTCTAAAGGAGTTTTTTTTTTTCTATTTAAAAGTGTACATTTTGTGATGTTTTTTGCAGATGGTTCATGTATGTATGGCCTATGTTTGGATTGATGCTAAGAGTTAAAGACAGTGTATTTGTATGCATTTTAGAAGGACTCTTTATTGGTGAGGTCACCACATCATGGTCCAGTTTGAATATGGATTTAAAGTTCTTTTTGACGTAAGACCATAGTCTAGACTATTTTTGATTGTTCCTGGTTAGGACGAGTCTGGTGTTTGAGAGATGTGGCATGTTTTAATTACAAGAATTGGATTATTCATTTCCTATCAGTCAACATCAGCTACAGACAGTGTTTGGACATTGATGTACTACAGATAAGACTTTCGCACACATCAACTTTCACATGACGAAATCCTACAATCTTACATTGCTTTGTTTGCTTTTTTTTTTGTACTTTTGTGTATTTACATTTTTAGCTATATGTAGCTGTATTAACCTGAATTGAATGTTTTCTACTTTGTATTTAATAAATCCATTGATTTGAAATCCCTTTGACTACTGTACATTTTTGACAATATAGACATTAGTTATGTGGTGACTGCATCCATTTCAGATGTATAATAACTGTTTTTCCCAAAGATTTAAGTTATAGTAGCTGAAAAGTATTTAAAGTGAAATAGATGTATTGCTATAGATCAGGGGTGCATCCTGGTCCTGGAGA